ATTTCATTTTAAACTTTTAAAAAATGTACTATTTTTCATTTTTTGTTGGGCCAGGCCTAGCAAGGCGAGGCAGGTGTTAGGGAGACAGAAATAATGGATAAAAATTACAGCTGCCTAGATTTAATTTAAATACTGGGAAGGGGGGGGGAACTTTCTGGTGGTAAGATCTGTTCCACAAAGCCACATGTTTGAGATTTGGAAACAGTGAACTCTTCCACTCTGGAGGATTAGTAAGAGTCCCAACAGCCACTTCACAAGGATGGTTTAAATCAAAGGGATGGCTGGGGAATTCTGGGAGTTAAAATCCACAAGTCTTAAAAGTTGCCAAAGTTGGACACCCCTGGTTAAAACGGTTTGAAACTAAACTAGATTATCACTGTACCCTTCTTGCTCCATACAGGTAGTCCTTGACTTATGCCCAATAGTTTAATGACCGTTTGAAATTACAATAGAACTCCCTGTTTTCTACTTACGATCTGGTTTTGAAATTCCAACATCAACAGTGCTTATTGGGAAGTCAGCAACTGGCTCACATTTATCAATGTTTGCTGTATTCCACGGTCACACAATCACTTTGTACAATGCTTTAAAATGCATTTGCTTCTAGTTTTCTTAAAAATCTCCAGTGTTGGGGCACCCACAACTTCCAGAGGGAAGTCATTCCACTGATTAATTGTTCTAATTGTCAGGAAATTTCTTCTTAGTTCTAGGTTGGTTCTCTCCTTGATTACTTTCCATCCATTGCTTCAAAATTGCCATCAATTGTAGAAATTCCTTAGCACACAGCTAAGTACAGAAATAGTTTCCACAAGTTGGAGAATTGACATCTAAAGGATGAATCTTTAGATCGGACAGCCGGTTTCTGCTCTGATTAGTCAGCAGAACATCAAGGAGTTTCAAATAGATCCACATATCTATTTGAGGAGGGCCTTCTCGGTGGCTGCTCCGTCCCTTTGGAACGAACTCCCCATGGAGATTCGGACCCTCACCACCCTCCAGTCCTTCCACGCCGCTGTAAAGACCTGGCTGTCCCGGCTGGCCTGGGGTTAAGATTGTAGCCCCACTCGAATTGTGCGATTGTTGTGTTCTTTTTAACATGCTGTATTGTCTGTTGTTTGTCTTTTCCCCCTCCCTTTTTGAATTGTGAGCCGCCCTGAGTCCCCTCAGGGAAAAGGGCGGCATACAAATAAAGGCAAAACCTAAAAAAACCTAACAAAAACATATATTTCTCCTGTATTGTAGAAGAATTCCTGTTCACCTATTACAATGCAAGAAAGAGATTTACAAGGTCACTTGCCTACAGGTTGTCCGGAAATTATAATCACAATTCAAACCAGATTTTCTGTTGCTAAGCAAGGTGGTTGTTGAGGGAGTCAAGCCCAATTTTATGATCTGTTTTGCCATGGTTGTTAAACAAATGACTGAAGATGATGTGAATCTATGACATTGCTTGTCGTAAGCCAGCTGGAAAGGTTGCAAATGCTGATCACATGACCACGGGATGCTGCAATCACTGCCTGTTGCCAAGAATCTGAATTTTGATCATATGACTGTGGGGGATCTGCAATAGTCATAAGTGCAAGGACCTCTTATATAGGTAGTCCTTGACTTACAACCATTCATTTAATGAGTGTTTGAAGTTAAAATGGCACTGAAAAAATATGTCTTATGATTGTTTTTCATACTTAAAATCACTGCAGCATCTCCATGGCCACATGGTCCAAATTTGGGCACTTGGCATGTTTTTGCAATGATTGCAACGTGCTGGGGTCATGTGATCCCCTTTTGCAATTCACTGACAAGCAAAGTCAATGGAGAAGCCAGATTCATTTAACAACCATGTTATTGACTTAATAACTGCAGTGGTTCTCTTAACAACTGTGGCAAGGTAGGTCCTAAAATGGGGTGAAGCTCGCTTATCTGTGCTGCTTGTCAGTATAAATTTTGGGATCAGCTATAGTCATAAGTTGAGGACTAGCTATAATTTATTTGGTGCCATTGTAACTTTGAACAGATCCGAAATGAATGGTTGTAAGTTGAAAAGTAGTTGTACTTTCTTTCTGTACACATAAGCAATTTAGTTTGTTGAAGATTTGCTAAGCTACCGTGCTCAGTGAAACATTGGCCATCTAGCTGGATGAATCCACTGCCACTAGAGTGTGGGGGGAAGGAAGGAAGGAAGGAAGGAAGGAAGGAAGGAAGGAAGGAAGGAAGGAAAGAAGGAAAAGGAAGGGAGGGAGAGAGAGAGAAGGATAGGAAGATAGAAAGAGGAGGGAGGAAAGAAGGAAAAGGAAAGAAAGAAAAGAAAGAGAGAGAGCAGGAGGGAGGGAGGAGGAGGAGGGAGGAGGAAGGAAGAAAAGAAGGGAAGAAGGAAGGAGGGAAGGAGGAAGGGAGGGAGGGAGGGACTGTGGAAACTTTTTATTCCCATCTTTTCCTCTTCTTCTGCAATACAAAGGAAATTTGCCTCTACTGCATATACCGTATATGCAGACAAGCACACCCATAAACCCACTGGCACTCAACTGAATCTTGATGGATTTCATTTGACATTAATACTGCTTTACTGACAGATCTGGAAAGGCAAAGAGGATTGAACATATGGTCAAAGATAGCAAGGGACAGCCAAATTAGCTGCAGACCAAAGCAATTAACCTCTTGAGTATGTCGAGTTTTATTTATGTGTAAAACGTCTATCCTGCTTTGAAGTTTGAAGGTAGCATGCATGTAGCACTCTTCTTGGGCAGATTTCTCACAACAGTCCGGTGAGGGAGGCTTTGCTAAGAGAGTGTTTAAATGGCCCTAAGCCTTTTAAATGAGCCTGAGTGGCTAAGAGTGACTTGAACCCAGATCTCCAGGGGCCTCTTCCTATCGACTATGCCATGCTACCTCAAAATTTTTGTCTTAACTGAGAAATTGAGGTGGGAAGTTTGGGAGTGAATCCCTTGATGTCTCTTGGTCAATCTGAAGTGCCACAGAAACATGATTCCACTACACAAGGGGAGTTTAAAACATATGGAAAACAATTGCAGGAATTGGGTACGTCTAGCTTAATGGAAAGAAGGACTAAGAGAGACATGATAGCAGTGTTCCAATGTCTAAGGGGCTGCCACAAAGAAGAGGGTGTCAAACTATTCTCCAGAGCACCAGAAGGCAGGACAAGAAGCAACAGATGGAAACTAATTAAGGAGAGAAGCAACCTAGAATTAAGGAGAAATTTCCTGAGGGTTAGAACAATTAATCAGTGGAACAACTTGTCTCCAGAAATTGTGGATGCTCCAACACTGGAGGTTTTAAAGAAAAGATTGGGCAACCATTTATCCAGAATGGCAGGGGGGGGGGGCAGGGGGATGGACTAGAAGACCTCCAAGGTCCCTTTCAACTCTGTTATTCTGTTTGATATGCTGTTATAAGAGGAGTGATAGGGGAAGAGCTGTTGCTGGCAGTTTTTCAGAAGAGTCATATTAGAAGGAGTTTAAGCAATGAGAAGAACATTCTAGATCCAGCATGAGAAGCTTTAAGCCTCTCAGATTTATCACCTGAATTCTAATGAGATTCTATGCTAAATGGATTTTATTCCATCTACACCTCCCTTCTTCCCCATGAGGACAGACTAATGTGCAGATAGTTCTCGACTTATGACCATGCTTGATTTTATAACAACTTTTCCATGGTTGTTCCAAGGCTGGTCAAGGAATAACCACCACCTTGTTTGGCAATGGAAATTATGCTCCCAAATGTGATCATAAGTTCCTTGTTCATGTATGTAATCACTTACCGGTATATATGGTATACATTCATAAGAAACCCAACAGAGCTTTCTTTTATTTCTTGAGTAGCCGGATACATGGCTACTGACTTATGACTACAATTGAAGCCAAAATTCCTGAGTGCTAAGTGAGACAGTTGTTAAGTGAATTTCGTAACCCATCTTACGATTTTTCTTGCCACTGTTTTTAAGTGAATCTCTGTAGTTGTTAAGGTAGTAACACAGTTGTTAAGTGACTCCAATTTCCCAATTGACTTTGCTTGTCAGAAGGTCACAAAAAGTGATCACATGACCCCGGGATTCTGCAACCGTCATAAATAAGAGTCAGTTGCCAAATGTATGAATTTTGATAACATGACCATGGGGATGCTGCAATGGTCGTAAGTGTGAAAAACGGTCATTGTTTTCAGTGCCATTGTAGCTTCAAATGGTCACTAAATGAACTTTTAAGTTGAGGACTATCTGT